TATCCATTTTCCAACTTGGAATTTTGACATGTAGTCAGCTTGCGCACATGTCCTATTTGGGACATTTGTAAGGCCAGCCAATGTATTTTACCCCCACCAAACCATATATTTTTGAAAAGTAGACACCCTAGGGTATTTCAAATGGTGGTTTTTTAACACTTTCCATGCACTAATTCTACCACCAGACTTTGTCAAACTTTGGGTAGCAATTTTTTTTTGTTTTTTTACACACACATTGTACTTTAGGCATTAATTAACAGATCCTGTTATGTGTCACTGCCAAACAACACCCCAATATGTGTTCAGCAACATCTCCTGAGTACAGTGATACCACCCATGCATAGGCTTGTTGGGTTGTTTGGGGGCTAAAAGGCCACATTTGGCAGGTGTGCATATCCGTTTACCAACTTGAAATTGAGACATGTAGTCAACTTCCACCCATATCCTATTTGGGCCAATGTATTTTACCCCCATCAAACTATATATTTTTGAAAAGTAGACAACCCAGGGTATTTTTAATGGTGGTATTTTAATACTTTTTATGCACTGAATTCTACCACAAGCCTTTGTCAAACTTTTGGGTAATAATTTTTTTGTGTTTTTTCCACACACTATGTACATTAGGCATGAATTAACATATCCTGTTATGCATCACTGCCAAGCAACACCCCAATATGTATTCAGCAACATCTCCTGAGTACAGTGATATCACCCATGCATAGGTTTGTTGGCAGGGCCGGCGCTACCTGTAAGGCGGACTAGGCAGCCGCCTAGGGCGCCCCTTGGGAGGGGGCGCCGCCAGGAGCGCCGGCCCCCCTCTTGCTGCAGCCGCCCGAGCGCTCTGTAGAGAGCCTCAGGCGGCTGCAGCTTTGCCCGGGCGGTGCGTCCATGAGGGCGGACCGCACCGCCCGGGCGCAGCATGCGGAGAGGGGCTGACAGGAGGGAAGCGCTGAGCGCTCCCACCTGTCAGCTCCCTCTCTGTAGCGTGGCCGAGCCCTCTATGGCATGGTCCGACCGGTACAGAGAGCAGCTGTCTCCTGTACCCGGCCGGACTAACAGGAAGTGCACACTGAGTGTTCACTTCCTGTTAGTCCGGCCGGGTACAGGAAACAACAGCTCCCTGTACCGGTCGGACCATGCCATAGAGGGCTCGGTCGGACTATACTGGGCTCGGCCACACTACCACACAGGTAGGGGAGGGAGGGGGAAGAAAGAGGGAGGAAGGGGGGAGAATTAAAAAAAAAAGAGAGGGAGGGAGGGGGAGAAGAAAGAAACAGGGAGGGAGGGGGGAGAAGAAAGAAACAGGGAGGGAGGGAGAGAAGAAAGAAACAGAGAAGGAGGGAGGGGAGAAGAAAGAAACAGAGAGAGAGGGAGGGGGAGAAGAAAAAAAAGAGGGAGGGGGAGAAGAAAGAAACAGAGGGAGGGAGGGGGAGAAAGAAACAGGGAGGGAGAGAGGGGGAGAAAGAAACAGGGAGGGAGAGAGGGGGAGAAAGAAACAGGGAGGGAGGGAGGGGGAGAAAGAAAGAAACAGGGAGGGAGGGAGGGGGGAGAAGAAAGAAACAGGGAGGGAGGGGGAGAAGAAAGAAACAGGGAGGGAGGGGGGGAGAAGAAAGAAACAGAGGGGAGGAGAAGAAAAAAAGAGAGGAGGGAGGGGGGGAGAAGAAAAGAGAGGGAGGGGAGAAGAAAGAAACAGAGAGGGAGGGGGAGGGGAGAAGAAAGAAACAGAGAGGGAGGGGGGAGAAGAAAGAAACAGAGAGGGAGGGAGGGGGAGAAGAAAGAAACAGAGAGGGAGGGAGGGGAGAAGAAAGAAACAGAGAGAGAGGGAGGGGGAGAAGAAAAAAAGAGGGAGGGGGGAGAAGAAAGAAACAGAGAGGGAGGGGGGAGAAGAAAGAAACAGAGGGAGGGAGGGGGAGAAAGAAACAGGGAGGGAGAGAGGGGGAGAAAGAAACAGGGAGGGAGAGAGGGGGAGAAAGAAACAGGGAGGGAGGGAGAGAAAGAGACAGTGAGGCAGGAGGGGGGAGAAGAGAAAAGAAGAGGAGGGGAGAAGAGAGAAACAGAGAGGAAGGGAGAGAACGAGGAAGAAAGAAACAGAGAGGAAGGGAGAAAATGAGGAAGAAAGAAACAGAGAGGAAGAGAGAGAACGAGAAAGAGAGAAAAAGAGAGGAAGGACGAGAACGAGGAAGAAAGAAACAGAGAGGAAGGACGAGAACGAGGAAGAAAGAAACAGAGAGGAAGGGCGAGAACGAGGAAGAAAGAAACAGAGAGGGAGGGAGGGGGAGAAGGAAACAGGGAGGGAGGGAGAGGGAGAAGGAAACAGGAGGGAGGGGAGAAGGAAACAGGGAAGGGAGGGCGAGAAGGAAACAGGGAGGGAGGGAAGGGGAAAGAAAGAAAAAGGGAGGGAAGGGGAAGAAAGAAACAGGGAGGGAGGGGGGAAAGAAACTAACGGGGGGGAACTGACAGGGAGGGGGAGATTGACGGGGAGAGAGAAATTGACAGGGAGGGGGGAGTGACAGGGGAGGGAGGGGGAATGAGAGTAACAAGGGAGGGGGGGAGAAGAGAGTGACAAGGGAGGGAGGAGAGATTGACATCCATCACACACACAATCACACACAATGCACCCCTTACACACAAAGACAATGAACCCCTTGCACACAGAAAAACACACAATGCATTACACACAATACATTACACACACACACGCAATGCAACCCTTACACAACCGTTACACACAATGCATCCCTTACACACACAGAAACACACAATGCATTCATTACACACACTCAATGCACCCCTTACAACTCACACACTTCATCCCTTACATACACAGAAACACACCTTGCAGCCCTTACACATACAAACACAGATTCACACAATGCATTCCTTACACACAAATCAGGACATTCCCTACACACTCCATCCCCTGTGAACAAACTCATTGGTGGAAAATGAAGGTGGACCCTGGGACCCAGACCTTGAGCTGTGTAAAGGGCCCCCAAAAAATGGAGCTGCTTCTCGTTCTCCCAGAACATTGATTTGTGTGACCACAGTTACAAACAGCCTCCAGAGATCCTGTTATACACCAGACCAGTGGAGCCAGACTGCAGCTAGAGCCCATCATCATCCTCATCTGCTTGTAAGTAGGCAATCTAGTATATTATTCGTGGCACTAATCTCTAATTTACCTCACATTAAAGAAACACTATAGTCCCCAGAACCACTGCAGCTTAATGTAGTGGTCCTGGTGTCTATAGCCTGTCCCTGCAGGCCTTTTAATGTAAACACAGCGGCACTGCAGCACTAGCGTTAGTTAACATGGCAGGTCATATGGGTGGGGCATTGCGATGTCACGGGGGGGAGGAGGGAGGCGGCAAACTTTACTTTTGCCTAGGGCGGCAAAAATCCTTGCACCGGCCCTGTTTGTTGGGTTGTTTGGGGGCTGAAAGGCCACGATAGAAACTTGTGCATGTCAGTTTTTCAACTTGATATATAGGTATGCTTGGCCTATCTTCAGTTTGGTGTATTTTTGCATCCCCCAGTTAATGTTACCATCATGAAAGTGTATATTTTTATTAAGTAGACATTCCAGGGTATTTTATATGGGGTGTTTTAACATCATTTCCCCAACCATTGTGCTAAAATATTTTCAGAGAACCTGCATGGTGATAATTTGTGAATTCTGCTTTTTGATTTTAGCCAGCAGGTTATATGTTACTGCCAGAAAACACCCCAGTTTTTTTCTGAAAAGTCCCCTGAGTACACCTATGGCCCCCCATGCATTGGTTTGCCACGATTTTACAGTAACAAATTTTGGACTTGCCCATTTAGGCTGAATATTGTTTGTTTGCTTGCTTTGCTAGGCACATGTTGAGTGTGGTGCATTTTTCCATCCCCCAAGGTGAATTTATGGTTTGAAAGTATATATTTGTATAAAGTACACATCTAAGGTTTTGACTTCTTTTCCCCAACCATTTTGCCCCTTAATATTCAGAGAAAGTGTGTGGTGGTAATTTTTGAATTCTGTTTTTTTTTATACACATTTTGCTTTTAGATTTCGGCCACAATAGTTTTTTAAATTCAGGAACAAGTTTTACAAAAAGGTAGGCTCTGTGTGGTAGAGCTTAAAACATGTTCCAATACATAATCCAGGTTTTGAACGGCAATCGGGACAGTGAAAGGGGGTGTCTGTCCTTTTCCCTTTTTTGTAACAGACCCGGCAACGTTTCTGGGGATTTGTTTTATTTGCAGTAGGAGGGATCTTGAAAATATAATGCGTAGCACCAATTCTGGATTCCTCTGGCACCGTTGTTGGAACTTCAACGGAACCATCTCCATAAATGATTGTTTAAATCACTTTTAGTTGAAACTGGAGAAAGGTGGTTCTTCCAGGATTCATTTTTTTTTAAAAGTATAAACGAATTGTGGGTTGCTATTTGCATCAGATAGATAGCCAACTTTTTGTACCAGGCTTTAGTTTTTCTTAAAATAAGATATGGCTGCATGAGCTGATCAGCCAAATCTACACGCCCCATGTGCCTGTTATAAGCCCTGACGCAAACAGGTTTGGAATTTACTCTGCCTCGGACAGTGACGTCTGACATGCTTTCGTCATGGATGGTGGTTAGCATGTTAACATCCTTCCTGTCCTTAAATTTAATTGCAAGAACTTCAGCTTTGCGCAGAGCTTTGCATTGACCTTTTTTTAATTTGGCCTCTATGAGAGGTCTGGGGAAATCTTTGGAATTTTTTCTAACAGTGCCGCAGGCCAGTGTCTGAAAACTATAAAGCAATTTAAAAAAACAGACACAACTATAGAAATTTTCCACATAAAGGTGGTAACCCTTATTGAACAAGGGGATCAGTAGGTCCCAAACTATTTTCCCACTTGTCCCTAGAGAGTCAGGACAGCCAGGAGGGTCCAGTTGACCATCTTTCCCCTCATATACGCGAAAGGCAAACGTATAGCCACTTTCGCTCTCGCACAATTTGTAAAACTTGACGCCATACCTAGCACGCTTTGAGGGAATGTACTGTTTGAACCCCAATCTCCCTTTATATTTCATAAGGGATTCATCAACAGATACATTTTGCTGGGGAGTATAAACGTCAGAAAATCTTTGCTGCAGATGGTCTATTAGTGGGCGTATTTTGTGAAGCCTATCATATTGGGGGTGATCTCTGGGGTGACAGAGGGTATTGTCATTGAAATGCAAGTATCGCAGCACCAACTCATATCTTGCTATAGACATTGTTTGGGAGTATATAGGACTAGAACAGATTGGGTTGGTGCTCCAGTAAGAGCAAATTGATTACTTCTTTATTATCCCCATGAGCATTGTAAGAGCCCAGAGTTCAGGGACATCTGTGGGATGCCAAGCATGCTCCCTGACTACAAAGCTACCTGGATTTGCATAAAAAAATTGCGTAGCATAGAGATTAGACTGGGAAGCAATCTCCTCCCTGATAGTATCCCCACAAAATAACTCCATATATTGCATAGCAGAGAAGTCCTGCACATTAACATTAATGCCTGCGTTGGCACTAAAAGGGGGTATGTTGGGCTCAACTAACTGTGGAGGTACCCAGTCCTCCTCGACATTCGGCGTAGCAGATGAAGCACAGCTTCTTTTTGCAGCCGGCTCACAGACACATGACGTGTCACTAGACGTGTCGATAAACTGATCTGGGTCAAAATCGGAGGCAGTGTCAGTGGCGTCAGAGTCTGACGCCAAGAAGGCATATGCCTCCTCCAAGCTATACATGGGCTGCATGTTTCACCAACACACTACCTGACACAAAACTAACAAATTCCTAACACAAAGTATTTTTTTTATTTTTTTTAAACAGACTAAAAAAGACTTTAGCGGCAATCCCTAAATTAACTCCTGCAAAGAGAATCTAATGGAGATTTGGGGGAAGGAAACTGACTAACTAAAGTTTGACGGTTATAAAAAAAAAAGTCTAAAACACAATAAAACACCCTAAAACACACTAAAGCAGCTTTTTGATAAAAAAAAACCCTTAAGGGCAAAAGAAAAAAAAATTACAGACAGTACTAATGCACTGATGTAATAGGACTTAGCAGGGAAGGTGTTAAAATTGATTTTTATTTATTTTTTTACTTTTTAACAGGTTTTTTTACACTTCTAGCAACTCTTTCACACTGGCAACAATCTATCCGCTCTGATCTCTGTCTCTCTCGCCTCACAAAACGCCACAGAGAGAGAGGCAGAGATCAGTGTCAAAGTTAGTGTTTGTAACACCCACTTTGACATCAGCCAATTGTGAGCGATCGCGGATCGCTCACACGCCGCAATTGGCTGTTACTATCTGCCTGGGATGCCGGGCAGATAGTAACAACGGGATTTCAGCGGAAGTGATCTCTGATCGCTCCCACCACACGTTTTCCGTTATAACGGTTCAGGACCGTCACTGGTCCTCAACAGTATGTTACCGATGACGGTCCTGAACCGTCATCGGTTGGCAAGGGGTTAAATAAGCTTAAAGGTACACTATAGTCAACAAAACAACTTTAGCTTAATAAAGGAAGTGTAAACATTAGATGACTCTTTACAGGAACTGTTTAGGAAACTGTATAGGTCACATGCAGGGAGGTGTGCCTAGGGCTACATAAACAAAGTGATTTACCTCCTAAATGGCACAGTATTGTGCAGTGAGACTGCAGGCGTGTGATATACACACCAAAACTGCTTCATTAAGCTAAAGTTTTGGTGACTATAGTATCCCTTTAAGTCAACCCACCAGTCCATTGGATCTTTAAAGGAGCTTGCTTCATCAATAAGTAGGGAATTTTTGCAACCTAGTCTGAAAATAGCTACGTCAACCTTAGTTGGGGAGTTCCAAGCAGAGAAGTAATCTACTCTTCTAGATCGTAGGCTCTTTCGAGCAGGGGTCTCATTGACCTAATGTTCCTGTAACATTTTGTAATTGTCATATTCACTGATACATTTTCCACTGCAGCAGAGCTGCAATCCTGGGACCGAATATCTCCTCTGGAGCTGGAAGAAAGTGCTGTTCAGTGATTATAGCTCATTCCCCCAGTAACTGGACGACACACAGATCTGGGAGTCAACTGAGGTTTATAGTGCCACATTCTACTTTCTATGCACAGACCCCCTGCATGGGTCCTCCATAGAAAACAGTACAAACCCCTCCCAGGTGTCTCTGTGTCTGGGAGATAATTGAGTCAATGGAAGGCTAACAATTATTTCTGTTACAGGAAACTATACCATTTTACATAAAATACCCCAAAAACATATCAAGAATATACAGGAACCCCACAATTCTTATATCCCGGAATAGCCCGAATCTGAGCGCCCAAGTTGTCCAAATAGTGCTCAGATCCATTCGGTAGAACGTAATCGCCATTCAGGTAAGGTTTTGATCGGCTGGCCACCAGTTGATGACCCAAAATAGTTCCAGAGAATCGACTACGTCAACGGCCGGTCTCCTTTCGAGGGTTCCCGTAAGAACACTCTTAGGGAGCGAACACCCCCTCCAGTCCGTATTTTCTATCTCCCGAACGTTGTTTGTCTAGCTGGTTGGGAAGTTGGACGGGCAGCGGGGTTCACGAGATCGTGTACCTACACACGAAACAATCTTTGCCGGGGTTCGCAAAATGAGTTCCACGTGCTCGATGACCAAGTACCGCAGCCTGCGTTCGGGAGACAAAATGCACTGGACCAATGTGTCCAGTTATAGGAATTGCGGCCACCCAGGAAGAGCACTCTAGTTAATCCTTTAATTGCGGTTAACAGCCAGGGGTGGCATCAGATGCATTAGAAGACACCTTATCGGAAACTTCAGATTCTGGTAGGTCCTTTGAAGAAGAGTGTGAATTAGTTTCTTCAGAGGAAGAACACAATCTTTCAGTGGACAAGATGGAGAGTGTATGTCTGACTGCTTTGATAAGTTAGGTCAGTCTAATTTATTTCTAGAACTTGTGAAAAAGAAACAAATGTTTCCATTCCATGAAGCCTTTTTTCTTCTTATTATTATTGGCATTTTTATAGCACCAACATATTCTGATATTATAAAGTGGGTATGGCAGACCTTGTAAATGTAACCCTGCCATTTCAAACCAGAGTCATTTAAAGGAACACTATAGTCACCTAAATTACTTTAGCTAAATAAAGCAGTTTTAGTGTATAGATCATTCCCCTGCAATCTCACTGCTTAATTCATTGTCATTTAGGAGTTAAATCACTTTGTTTCTGTTTATGCAGCCCTAGCCACACCTCCCCTGGCTATGATTGACAGAGCCTGCATGAAAAAAAAACTGGTTTCACTTTCAAACAGATGTAATTTACCTTAAATAATTGTATCTCAATCTCTAAATTGAACTTTAATCACATACAGGAGGCTCTTGCAGGGTCTAGCAAGCTATTAACATAGCAGGGGATAAGAAAATCTTAATTAAACAGAACTTGCAATAAAGAAAGCCTAAATAGGGCTCTCTTTACAGGAAGTGTTTATGGAAGGCTGTGCAAGTCACATGCAGGGAGGTGTGACTAGGGTTCATAAACAAAGGGATTTAACTCCTAAATGGCAGAGGATTGAGCAGTGAGGCTGCAGGGGAATGTTCTATACACCAAAACAGCTTCATTAAGCTAAAGTTGTTCAGGTGCCTATAGTGTCCCTTTAACCCCTTAAGGACACGACATGTGTGACATGTCATAATTCCCTTTTATTCCAGAAGTTTGATCCTTAAGGGCTTAATCATATGAAACTGAACAGCAGATACATGAACACAAGAAAGTCATGTACAGGTGCAATGATCAGTGCATGTAATTAAGAGTTAATCACTACACATGGGCACCTGTGACTGTGTCTCTTCACAAGCCTGCCTGGACTGGGGTTTTTAGTGTCAGAAGCACCACCATCTAGATTGGAGCCTCAAATCCAGTATGTTGCCAAATCCTTTAGATTCCGTCTTAAAAACATAGCCCACATACACAAGTTGTTACTAAGGAGCTTGTCCATGATCTGGTAATTTCCCGCATTAATTATTGTAATCTTCTCCTGATTGGTCTTCCCAAAAGCTGTATTGCCCCTCTACAGTCTGTAATGAATGCTGCCGCCAGACTGATTTTCCTCGCTATTCGGTCCTCTCACACCTCACCCCTCTGTCAGTCCTTACATTAGCTTCCTGTATCCAATAGGAGTCAATTCAAAGTGCTAACCCATACCTATAAAGCACTAAACAATTCTAACCCCTCTGATATCTCATCACAAATCCATAGGTATGCTCCTTCTCGGTCTCTCCGCTCTGCCCGTGACCTCCTGTCCGCTGCTCGCACCTGTACGGTCAACTCGCACTTGCAGGACTTCTCGCGGGCGGCTCCCTTTCTACCACCATCAGACTCTCCCCTAGTCTTGCATCTTTTAAGAAGTGCCTTAAAACCCATGTCTTTAAGAATGCTTCCCAGATTAACCTCTACCTCACATATCTGGCTCTTGTTCTCTCCTAAAGGGCAGCACTCTACTCTCTCCTCCTGTTCTGCTTTATTCCAACCGTATTTGATTGCTATTTCCTGTCCGAGTGTGTTTTATACCCCACCTCCTAGACTGTAAACTCGTTTGAGCAGGGCCCTCTTCAACCTATCATTCCTGGTAAGTTTTCTTGTAATTGTCCGATTTATAGTTAAAATCCCCTCCCTCTCATAATATTGTAATGCGCTATGGAATCTGTTGGCGCTATATAAATTGATATAATAAGCCATATTCTTTGCCCATTGCTCTGCGTGGCAATCCTAAAGTTCACTCTACCAGTGATCTGTGTACCTAATGAGCTGGTAAAGTCTTGTTTTTTTTCTAAAACAGAATGGGGCTATCAGCCAAAAGTGCTGATCTAAATACTGCTACTCAATGCATTTTAAACACAAAATGTTGCATGGACATGTTCCATATTACAGTTATCTATATAGTGTGTTAATCCAGGTCTTTCTTTTTTCAAAAGAATAAAAATCTTATCTTAAATCCACAAGTACTTAAATGTTAATATACCTACCAATGAATATACACAGTTCAGATTTTTCATGGATTTTTCATGTTCTTCTTATGTTTTTCATCAGTTTTCTGATAGTTCTTTTTTGGTGGGGTTTATTCACTCCACTGGGAACTGCGGAGAATTGACATAGCAAATGCATTTTAAATCCAAAACAGCTGATGAGGGAACATTGTCCAAATAAGCTATTTTTTCAGATTGGCCATTTTTGATTAGCTGCTTGTGGCTCTATTGGACAATCTTTTACCAGTGATTTGAAACAGCAAATATTGAGCAACACAATATTATACATTTAAACATGGTGAGTGATTTTCATCCCAAAAGCAAGTCAATCAAGATAGACAAATCTACTTCCTAGATGGTAAGCTTTGAGCCATATTGGTTGACACACACACACGATAATTCTCAGAACTCTATATAAAAACTGATAAATGTGTTGAACATTTAGACATTTCGTTCTTGATTGCTTTATTTCTAAATGTTTCCATATTTCTGTAAAGTATAGTTACTGTCACATTTTCCATACCACTTCCAAGTAGTAGTCACATTACAGTATTGCACTGAATTCTCTATATAAAAGTTTTTTGTTTTTTTTATTGGCACTGGATCTCTAAAGCACATAACAGGTGATAAATCCAATCAAAAAGGTCAAAGTTGGTTAAATGTTGTCCTTGTTCCCATAAATTTGATTGTACATTTTTTTGTGTTAAATACTAAAAGTAGGGAAAAAAAGAGTTTCAGTATATGAAGAAGTCTTCTTTAAATAAATATACAAATATCCAGATAAATAAGAGTTCGTAGTGTTATATACTCTGTCACTTTGTATATAGTTATCTTTATAAGGCAGAACAGCTTGTTTTCATGTATTGGATTGATATTCTTCAGCGAACACATGGACAGGTTGAGTTAGTATATGTTTCACATGTGCTTTATAATGCTTTCTTTGCATTAATTTAGCGATATAAGGTTGACGTAATTCATAGTAAAGAGTTGTGACCATCCGTAGAAGCTGAAAGTAGTGATTATCAATTCCGATCTCGGTTTCTATAATGTGCATATTAAAGTTAAAGATATCATTTGAGCCCAGTGAAGACAGTACATGATGCTGCAGCAGAAAACAGTAATTTCTAGGATCGCACTGATCGTTATTTAACAAGTTATTAAGTTCCTTTTCTGCTGTTTCTACAATTTTGTTAGTTCCCTCTGATGGTACAAAATAAACTCTCCCATGCTTCAGCTTCAACAAATGATAAGCTTTTTTTAAATTCTGTGGGATATGTGATGTCACTAGAGCACATCTGCACTGGGTACAAGAAAGCTGACTGAATGCTTTCTGCACCACCCAGCCTGCAATATACGTCTGTGCATTGTGAAGTATTGTGTCCAGTATGCGTGATCCGTAGAAATGGTCCGGTAGCATGATGCTATTCTCTTCAAATGGCGATTCTAAACCTGGAGTATAGATGGAAGGAGCCGGATCTCCAGCAACATGAACAAAGCTGATTTCACTTGTCACTGGATGATTTTGTTTATTAATGTTCAACAGGCCGCACTGGCACAACCGCTGCTGTACTGCAAGCTTGACTTCAAGGGCTGTAGGACTTTCATCTGACTGACCTAAAGAAAGACAGAGAATGAGATCATCCACTATCTTAGATTACAAAGTTTAGAGCATGTAAGGTTAGGAAGAGGACTAAAAAACATGGGGGAACAAAATGTAGCTGTGAGCATTCCAGCATCACATCTCTCTGCAGTGTAACTTTCCAGTAACTGTTACTACAGGCTTGAATAATTATCATACTATTCCAAAATGGTCACCTCCACACTGAAATACAGACATTGCTTCAAGAGGAAATGCTAACCATATTTATTACAGTATGATACGATAAACATTGATACTAATCTTAATTTAAATGGTTTTAATGCATTTATAAGAAGACATTTGATACGGACATCAGCCCTTTTAACAGCTAAATGAAATGAATGCAGTAGAGGCCAGGACACTTGTAAAGATAACATACATGAAGTTGTACAAACATTGACTGAGCTTCCTAGAAGAGTCGATAGATTTACCTGTTTTTCTGATACTGTTGAAAAACATTTTCAGGCGTTCGGTGCTGAATCTATGTGTCAAAATACAATCCTTGTACTGCAGTAAATATGGGAGCAATGCTGTAAATGACGTGATATTTGCAATGAAACCAAGTATATACCATCCTCTGAAAATACATAAAGAACAAGGAAAATAGTCATTTGTGGTTTTTGCGAAGTGTTACAAAACCCCCCACAAAACAAACAAACAAAAACATACACCCACACCAAAAACAAAGAACTAAACCGTAAAAATGTACTCATCCTAGCCACACTAACCCGATGAGGAGGATGTGTCCCTCCAGCTCTCCTAGCCAGACACTTCTTGTCGAGCTACTCCTAACGCACTAATCAGATAAAAAAAAAACGCTCAACACGGTTCCTTGCGGACACTAGCCTAAGACTATAGGGCTCTATTAGGGTTCGGATCTGCCAAAGGGCACCCCTCGCACACATCACCACACCAGTCATGAGGTTAGGTTGACATTACTAAGGCTCCTGGACGTAGGCCGACCCATCAGACTAGCCAACAAGGGTAGGACAGAGGAGACAATACAGGATACGAGCTCCCGTTTGACACTGCTGGAGCGACAGCTGAGCCGCCTGCATATTGCATGCACCTCATGAGTTACACTGCCGTCCTAGATTTGTGGCCATGTCGGTGGCAAAGTTGTATCCTCGCTGTTACGGTTCCTGTTATGTCTTTATGTAAGGCTAACAATGTGCTGTACCATTTATACCTAAACGAATAAATAAAGAATGTGAAAAAAATTTTTTTTTTAAAATGTACTCATCTAGAAAACTATAACGTTGGTAATACGAGATAACATTCAAGTTTATGTTTGCAGAAGGGATAAACTGATTATTGTAGCAAATATTCAGCAATTTACAGATAATCTGTATCGGTCTTGTAATTTACCAATAACTTACTCACCTTTCCCAGACTCACACGCTGTCTTCTGAATTCGGAAACTTTAGCTGAAGTCAATGAAGCACCATGTCGTCACCTCACATCACCCCTTTCTGTGAGTCCCCACATGCGGAGCACATCTGAAGGCATGGAGGTAATTATTCACGGTCTCGTCTCTCTGCCTTCAGCTGTGCTCTGCATGCGGAGACTCACAGAAAGGATTGGTGTGAGGGGTGCTGTAATATACAGGGCTGGCTGAGAGAGTAAAATGAATGTAATTGCACTTTACATGCCGGGATCTCACTGATCCCAGCATGTACTGACTGTTTGCGAATAATAGTAGGATGACTGTAGTCATCATGTTCAGTTATTGTCAGATTTTTGTAAAAATTGCGTTACTTTTTCAAAACTTTAAAACATACAGAATATACAAGCACCAGTCATCAAAAAAAATTATATTGGTCGATCCCCAGTTTGCAGAACAATTTTTCATATGATGTTCACACTCTATAAGCTTCTAATAAATGATTATCTACTCTCACTTTGTACACAGTTATAAGGCAGAAGAGCTCGTTTCTCAAAGAGTTTGCAAAATGTAAGAAAGCAGTTTTGAAGCACTAAAGCATGATATCTTTCTCTAATAGCAATAATCAGGAGAGGACTAAAGAAAAGAAAAAAACTAAATATATTTTCTCCCACGAGCTATATCCTGAAAACGAAATCCTTCTCACCCACCAGATAAACTCTCCATTTATATATAATGCTCAGACCATATTACGGAACCTAGCTATATTTCTATCGGGAGAGAAAAAACACACACACACACACACCCCCACCACCACCACCACCACCACCACCCTCCTCCCCCCCCAGTCTTCTCTACATCTTACAATCAATATCAACAATTACTAGGATATTGCACAATCTTGAAAGCACTTTAATTCTTTGAATTTTCATACCGGAATGCCTTACAATAAAGCCAAGACGACGAAGCATAGTATTTTTTTTTTTTTTTTTTACAAATTAAATCTCATTCAAAATCTATCATTTCGGCACTGTTCTGCAAGTTTGCATGTTGCCTAATTGCTTCTTAAAACCAATAAAATTCTCTCGAAACTCAGCTTCTTAGTTTGGTGAATAATGTTGGCAGAACATTTTTCTTGCTGTGGTTTCCTGTATTACATTCTTTGATGGTCAGACATCCCTCTTCTTGTGGTTACCAATGTAAGGATGACACCATTTAGTTCTACCTTTTAAAATGCAACATTTTCAGTGATCTTCCTTTTCTATGACCAGTGTGTTTAAAGAATATCTTACCTGGAGCTTTGATAGACAGGGTAATTATCAGTAATAGTCAAACTCAAAAGGTATTCCTTAGTCGTCTGCAGGACATGCAATGTTTCTTTTAGGTTGATAGAATCAATAGGTCCATTGTCTCTCCTTCCTTTGGAACTGCTGCTACATAAAATACTGAACAGCTGATGAACAACCTGTAAAATGACATAGTAATGACAATGAGGATTAGACATCTTAAATTAATTCAAATTAATTGTACCGGTTTACAATCAGTGTAATCGATTGGTTATCGTAAAAAACTATTGTATTCCAAAATGCTAATACAGTAACCACAGTTCTGCCTTACCACATACAGGTAGCAAGCATCAATTACAAAGTAAAAGTAATAGGTGGGGTGGGGGGGACACTTCCATTCTATCAATGCTTAGTACAACAGAGAAGAATGGAAGAGAGTACAGATACTTGACAGAATTCACAAAATCTAGGAGTGAGGAGTAGTTGCTAGTATAAACTTTGATATTAAAGCCCCATAGGGTTGATCTGGCTGTTTCTTAAAGGGACACTATAGTCACCAGAACAATTACAGTTTACTGTATTTGTTCTGGTAATGATAGTCAGTCCCTGTAGACTTTTTGCAGTCAACGCTGTCCTTTCAGAGAAAATGAAGTGTTTACATTACAGCCTACTTCAACTGGCAACTCGAGGTGCTTCCTGGGGCAGTGCTCCGTACTCTGTATGGAACATTCCTCATAGAGATGCATTGAATCAATGCATTTCTAGGAAAATATGCGGTTTGGTCAGGGTTGTGTTTGGCTTGTGCTGGCTCTGCCCATGATCTGCCTCCTTGACAGTCTCAGACAATCCAATGCTTTCCTAAGGTAAAAGGCATTGTAATTGGCTCAGAAAACAACTTCTGATGAAGTCAGCTAAGCAGGCAGATCAGGGGCAGAGCCAGCAGCAGACTGTAATAATGGTAAGACTTTGCTATATTTAGAGGGGCTAGATGTTGGTTTTAATACTATAGGATCAGGAATACATATTTGTGTTCGTGACCCTATAGTGTTCCTTTAAGCTCAGAACTTTGCTGTTACTCGAACATAATTACAATACTTCTCCCAGATCCCTGCACAATTTGTTTAATAACAGGGTTTATAAAAATAAATAAATAATAAAGCACCATTTTCTGTCTCTTGGATCAGTGAGGTCAATTGAGAAATTTTACTTTTGTTGCCCAAGATCTGTCAAACTTGTGCATGTGGTATAGAAACTCTGCGCAAGTAGCACGTGTAGTGAGACGGCTTAGGAGAGTTCTGCACACAGCTCCATTCACAAAAACTGGCTTTGTACAAGCTCAAAGCAGCTTAAAAAGTAACACTTCGGGCACCATATCAACTTCATGGAAATGAAGTTGTTACAGCACCAGGAAGTCTCTGGCTTATCTTTAGGTGTTAAACTGTTAATAACCGGTTTAGCCCCTGATTCTACTCTCCAGCAATGTATCGCTCTACTCCTTCCAACATGACCTTTCTGAAAATTTTCAAAATGGAAAGCCCAGTGCTAATGATTGACTTCCAGCGGTCAGCTGATGCTCTGAGCTACTAATCAGTATCTTCCCATTCACAAAATGGCTTGAGAAACATATGCCCGTTTTTCAATTACGTGAATTACTTATCCGATAAACTTCTGTAGTTCAGAATTTTATAAGATACTAATATGGTGGTTTTATCCTGCAGTGAAGTGCTTTAGTAGTAGCTGTATGAGCTTTGAAGGCAAGTTTTAAAAACAAGAAATCCAAAGAAATTGGAGAAATATGCAACAAACTCTGACTAGAATTTTTTCAATTTAAACAGAACCATAAAGGGACACTTAAGTCACCAAAACAACTTTAGCTTAATTAAGCCGTTTGTGTGTAGATCATGCCCCTGCAATGTCACTGCTCAATTCGCTTACATTTTGGATTTAAGTCACTTTTGTTTCTGCTTATGCAGCCCTAGCCACACCTCCCCTGGCTGTGACTGATGCAGCCTGCACTAAATTAAAATTGTTTTATTTTTACTTTAATTACATGCAGGGTGGTCCTGCAGGGTCTTGCAAGCTATTAACAGAGCAGAAGATTTTTTTTTTCTAAATTAAGCAGAATTTGTAATAAAGGAAGTGTAAAGTGTATTTACAGGAAGTGTTTAGGAAAGCTGTAAGTCACATGCAGGGAGGTGTGCCTAGGGCTGTACAAACAAATGCTCTATTAAGTTGTTTTTGTGACTATAGTGCCATTTCATTAACCTTGAAGGCTTTATACGTTTTCTGCAGCAGTATTCACAATCTGAAGTATGTGGTGTGTTAAAAATATTATGATGAAACACATTTAAATGTGCTTTTGCCTATATTAAGCTCCATATTTTACTAACCTATTTAAATTGAAGATGGTTTATAAAAATCTGCATAAAACAAACCTGAATAAATTTTATTGTTGCTGTAGACTCCGCAAACTTTTCAGATTTTAATTCCTGTAGCATTGAGAGAGCATTTGCAACCGAATAACTAAGCTTGGTCAGAGTCAATTTAATCTTTATCAGTTGAGTGATCATTTCTACAGGAAGCAGAATTTGCAGTTTTTCTAAGTTCAATATATCATCGATGTACTTCCATAGTACTAGTCCATCAGAACTCTGTATGCTGCCAGTCTCCTGTAGCATATCTGTGACCAACTTTAGCTCTTGGTGGACACTGAAGACTATATAATGTTTTCTGTCACTGTTGGGCAAATAAAAGTGGGTTTGGAGATGCTTGGCATCAGAGAAGTCACAACCAAGCAGAGAGCACATTTCTTGGTTACGGAGGTTTCTATCCATTGCGATGACATCTACCACAATGTCATTATCCCAGAGTTCATGAAGAACATGTAAAAGGAGTTGCTTTTGGGCTTCAGCAGTTAAAGATTTCACAAAGAAATAGGCAATAGGAGCTTCCCAGTTACCGACAGTTCCTTCCAACATGAACATTAGTGTTTCATCGGCTACCTCTTGGCTCCCACCAGCTGCTGAACTTTTTCCCAAGTTCACAAAACCAACAAGTTCATTCTGTTGCGAATCAAATGTGACATGTTGTTGAATGGACATTGTATCAACTACTAGAGTTGCCAAGGAATAGACCTCTGGATGCTCTTCTTTCTTTTTCAGCAATGCCTCCAAAACTAAGGAATTGAAAGCTGGTTTATCGCAATCTGTCTTAAGCCACCTAGATATGCAGAAGAGCACACAATGAATTATTAAAATGTATTCAAAACTAACATTTTAATTGCAGAGAGTTGTTATACAGAAGTTTGCACCTGATTAAAATGACATTGGACATATTGCTATTTGATATTTTTATTTGTTTTTCTCCATTTAATAGTAGGTGAAGTGTAACAAATATTAATTAAGCAATTTACCTAAAAACTGCCCTGAATTTTCGTACGTGGGCTGTAGTGGTGATGGTGCTTGTAGTGTACTTTTAAGCATCACCCAAAGCAGTTAAGTAGCTCCTCTATGAAACTTGCATGTAGTTTAAAAAAAAAAAAAAAAATTTAAATGTAAGGCAATAAGGGGGTTAGACATTTTATTTTGAGGTAGAAAAGCAGGAGGAATGAAAACAAAAAGAATAAAAATGTGCGGCCATGTAATAGCTGTAAAATGAAAGAAATAAAAGCAATTTAATAAAGCACTGTACACGGATACACACGTATTTAGCATGCATTTCATTTTTTTATGCCAGCTATTGTGCAGACCAATACTTACTGGCGGAGTTTCCGTGGCCTTGGTAAGGGCACTTTAAATCCATTTCCTATGTATCTGTAGGAAGATGGATCGTGAAGCTGTAAAGTCAGAGAAAACAGACGCTGCTGTGCAGAGTACTCAGATACAGGTTTTTTGAATAGATCCAAGGGAATATCTAATAAAAAGAAAAACCTGATTGTGAAGTCCTCCTTTATATTCTTGTTTTGTATCTTTCATAAACAAAAGCTATTTAATGGATTCTGCTTTTTTATATTTTGTGTTTAACTCACGCACCAACATCAAAGGAAAGGCAAATGATAGCTTCAGCTCCAGAACCCTAAACACTCAATAAAAAAAAAGTCCAACCATCCTTTCTAGCATTAACTTAATCCTGAAGCCAGCAGTGCAGAATTGCAAAGCATAGCGCTTATGAACAGCACTGCAAAGAATCAAATAATATACCTTAAAAGTTAACTATTTTTTGTGAGGAGTCTGTAGGAGCCCATAGAACTAGATGAAACTCATGGGCATCTCCATGAAAAAAAAAAACCACACAAACATTCCTGACTATAATGTAGGCAGGTGGTCAATGATGATACAGTATTATGCAATACGGTACCTCCATACTGCTGAAGCTTTTCTTGAAGTTGTGGGCTAAGAAGTTTTCTCTTGCGGAGAGCCCTATAGATAGTTGGGCAAGTCTGCCGTAGGCGCTTTTCTCGCTCTTTTGCATTCCTTAATTCTTTTTCTTTCTGTGCTCTTGAATACTCTGAAGCCTGCAACTTTTTTTTCAAAGTTTCAACATCAGGGGTGAAATAGAGATGATCCTAGAAGAAGAAAAACAAAACAGTAAATTAAACTGGCTAAAGATTCAACAGGTTAAGCAAATAAGACTGTAAAACAGCGATCTGGCTTCTTGTTGGCTATATAGGTGGACAATAAGGTCTGATTGAGGGTATTTAAAAATGGAATGTATATAATAATTTTCTATGTTTGTTGACTCCCGAATTAATTTATCAATTAAATATTTTAGCTGTAGCTTGCTTTGTGCTTGGTTGTTTTGACAGCACATACTACATCTGTGTGCTACCATGATGATTAGCAAGTAGCCATGCAACATTTAGATTTGTAGCATACAACTGTATGCAAGTAGGTTAATCTTGGAGTTATTTTTCATTTATTCATTCGCAATCACTCTGCTTGATATTAAAAATAAATAATAAAATAATGTGATAACCAATATACTGTGAGATGCCAAATGTAAGTACCTGTAGCTGTATGCAGTTATTAATGGCTTCCTTATTTGCTGGTAAGGTCTGAACTGCTTTGGCCATAGTTGCCACCTCTGGCTCCGTGGGCTCACTGGTGGCAGGCATTGGATCTTTTTCGGGAATTTCTGTCTTTTGGTAGGGAATAAACAGTGGTGATTTAGAGACATGTTTTGCAGATAGTTATGAAAAAGCTCTATTGTGTTCTAATTGATGTTTAGGAGAAAATAGCAAAACACCAATTAAAGTAAACTATAATGTCAGGAATATAAACATTTATTTCCAACAATATAGTGTTAATTACCTATTTAGGTCCCCGGCTGCCCTCAGATCACAGTAAAAATGTGTTTAAACTCTCCTTTTTCCCCCTCTTGCTCTGCCTCCATGGCTGAGATCAAACTTGCTGATTTCAGCCAATCAAAAACTATTGCACATGCGCAGCAAAATTGATTAACTCAATGCATCTCTATGGGGAACATTCAGCGCTTCCATGCAGACACTGAATGCCAGCGCTGGAACTAGGATTTACTTCTGGTGGCCGTCTGTGTGACTGTCACTAGAGGTGTTCCTAGGCAGCAATGTAAATACTGCCTTTCCGAAGTGTTTGTATTAAAAAACCTGCAGGGACAGGCTATAGACACCAGAACAATTATATTAAGCTTTAGTGGTTCTGATGACTACAGTGTCCCTTTAAACACTCACATATGCAGAATAATTATTTAATTTAGAATCAGTTGTGTTGTATTGATGTGAAACATTATTTTATAAACATGAATACTAATTAGTCTGTAATTGCAAGAGTTTAAATGTTAAGAACATTTATCTCTCAACATACAGGTCAACTATACAGTAGAACCCTATTTCGCCAATAACTGTTCACCCTATTTTCTCATTTCCATCAAATAGCCTGCCCTTATACAGAGGTTAAAATTTGAACAGGTCATAGAAAGTCAGTGTATAGACTGTGACAATGCAAAAAAGTTGCAATGATAACAAGTATTAAAGAATTTACCTTTATGTCATCTGTAAAATTAAAGATGCTGGGTATGACATCATCACGAAGCCTTTTTGTTTGGCCAGTGGTGTCGAAGCAACTCTGCTTAAAGTGTAAGCTACAAAGCCTCTGGTAGCGAGAGGGCATCCATAGCTCCCCTGTGCTAGTAGCTCTTTTCATGGCTACCCTCCATTTATCCAATAAAGTAGGATTGGACCTTGGAAATCTTAAAGATAAAAAGATTATTTCAACCTTAGTAGCACCATTAAGTAATGGCTACTGAAAATGCCAACAAAATTATATAGCACAATTCCACTTCTGCAGCACTGAAGAGGTGAATTACAACACATAGCAATACACAATAGACAAAGCATGTATTTACCAATTATTGAACACGCAACAGCAAAGCAAGATAATTCTGTAGGTAAATCCATATTAACCTTATTCAAGACTAGTCCAATTGTGACAAGATTTAAAGGAAACAAAGTCTTGTAAGAAAAGCATGTCATATAAAAAATGCAGTTACACCTTTAAAAAAAAAAATGAAACAGTGTCCAGGACTTCTTATAAATAAATACCCGTTTATTTTCAATTTATATATAGCGAAGTTTCAACACATAAGTCTTTATTAAGCTTGCTTGATAAAGACATACGTATCAAAACATTGCTGTACAAGAGTTTAAAATAAAGGGATATTGATTCATAAGGAGTGCTGGAAATAATTTGTTTACTGGATTTGCTACCGTTCTGGCAGTGAGGGGAGTCCTTGTACCCTATGATAGGAGCTTCTTGGTGAGTGCTCCTCCATGTTTCACTACCTGGAAGATTTAACTCTAGATAGAGGCATATAGTCAAAACGAAAAAGCAAGAAAAATATTGACCTGTATGTAACAAGCCTGTTCATATTGCTTTGACAAATTATATTTACAAGAGGCACATCATATTATGAGATTGTTCAAAGGGAGGGTTTAGAGAAAAAAAAAACTAAATTGGGATATGTAGACAACGACAATGGGATAGCCAAGCTGGACAAACAGATAAATAGGACATTTTCCAGTTTAGCTGTCTTGGACTAAAATTCTCTCCTCCGTAGTCTATTTTGCACAATATTACATTTAGTAAATAACCCAAATTTAAAATATCTGTCACAATGAGGCATACCTAGTGGTAGAGTCAGAATGTGATACATATAAATATAAACTGAAAGTTACCTGTGAAAGGTTATACCCTTCTTCCTGGCCTCCAAAGTATACCTGGACTTGCATCCAGATGCAGCACAAGAGACTGGCATTGCAATGTAGCACCTTAACACACAAAGAAAAAAAATATATATATTTTTAGCTGGATTCGGTGCATTAATGCATCAAGCCTCATCAATCACTTGGTTACCACTCAAATGTACCTCTCAATATAATGACAGCTCTAAATAAGTCATATTCAGACTATTTTTGACATTTCAAAAACTTTAGTACAAAGTGCAACGTTTTGTTCGTACAGTAACAGACGGATCTGGTCCACTGAATGTAAAATAACTCACTTTATTGAGAGAACACAAGGCAAATATAATGAATGTAGAAACAAAACAAAAATTAGAACACAGCATAGTGTACCAATTGGAAAACAGGACTCAACCAGGGTTTCAAATCCAAATGGACTAATAGATGAATCCAAGAGGGATAAAATCAGCAACAATGGGTTGGGAACAAGTTGGAGGAGGGGGGTGCAGGAAAGTCACAAGGATATTAGAATAAATGGCTGAAAATTAATTAAAATATACTGTATATAATTTGTGGATATATGTCTCTCTGGCAGTTGTTCTTAGACTCTGTCACATTAAAGTGGCACTGTCATGCCGAATTTATCTTTCTTTAAAGGACCACTCTAGGCACCCAAACCACTTCAGCTTAATGAAGTGGTCTGGGTGCCAGGTCCCCCATAGCAGTTTCAGAGAAACTGCTATGTTTATAATAGGGTTAATCCAGCCTCTAAAGCCGCTAGTGGCTGTCTCATTGACAGCCACTAGGGGCGTTTGCATGATTCTCACTGTGAAAATCACAGTGAGAACACGCAAGCGTCCTCAGGAAAGCATTGTAAATGCTTTCCTATGAGACCGGCTGAATGCGCGCGCAGCTCTTGCCGCACGTGCGCATTCAGCTGAAAGGGAGGAGAGGAAGAGGAGAGCTCCCCGCCCGGCGCTGGAAAAAAGGTAACTTTTAACTGTTTCCTCTCCCCAGAGCCGGGCGGGAGGGGGTCCCTGAGGGTGGGGCCACCCTCATGGCACTATAGTGCCGGGAAAACGAGTGTTGTTTTCCTGGCACTATGGTGGTCCTTTAATTGATTCCTCTTCTCTCCCTCTCAGGATCTGTTCTTCATTTCTTCCTGTCTGCTCTAGTTTTCTTTAAAACATAAGACAAAGTAGGGACTATTTGTCTTATGAAGGTTTCCTACGCCTGACCATCTCTGACCAGCGGAGGAGCAAAGTGTGCTTCATTTCCGGTGGTAGAAGAAAATTTTCCCACAATTCTTACCTTTCCTCACTGTTCCCGCAATGCTTCCTTTCACTTTTCCCTAACGTCCTGTCACTTAGACAGAATGCCGGCGAAACTTCCAAATTGGGTCCTAACAGAATGAGAACAGCTTGTTCATTTATGTGAAGATGCATTTCGGGACTTTGTTCATAACAGAATTTCATTTGAACAAATGAAACTCCGATCCTATTCGTGCCGTGGCTGCATCTTGCAGCCGCTTAGTAGATAGCTCCATAATTCCCACGGTATTAGGGAGCTATCAAAAGGCTGAAAGACCTGAATTGGTCTTTCAGCCAAATTTACTAATACTAAGTAAAGATTACTTAGTATTAGTAAATTCTTCCCCTACGCACTATACCGCGAGTAGGGGCATGTCTATTAAAAAGTGAGCATCCACTGTAAAAAAAAAAAAACCCTAGTACCCCCCTCCCGAGCCCTAAATGTCACCCACTTATTGTTATTTATGGCCCCCACCCGCCGGTCATGGGTGGGGGCCGGGAGGGAGGACAATAGCTCCCCCTCCCCACATTCTCATTCAGGGTCCCCACCCACCACTCAGGGGTGGGGGCCGGGGAGGACAATAGGCTCCCCCCTCATTCTCCTTTAGGGCCCCCACCCGCCAGTTATGGGTGGGGAGGTCTCTAGGTCCCCCCTTCAGATTAATAGCCCCCCACTCACTCAGCATGGGTCATAACAAAACCTCTGAAAGTAATTGCAAAAATGTAGTTACCTAATATGGGAGTCCTTGAGAGCCAAAGTGTGGAATGCAGTCAACAAGAATCAGTATGCTGGTCCTAGTGGATCACCTCAGTCTGTATAATCATGAGAGAAAAGTTATGACAAATGAGCAACCGGACTATGGCCATATGACCAAATAAAGGTGACATTTATGAATCTGATTTTTTTATTATTATTTTTTTTTTTAATTAAACAACCACCATTCTTTTACCAAAGTAATGCAACAGGTAAGTGCACTATAGACTGACAGGCAGGGGCGGGCTGGGCCGGGGGGCAGGGAGGCAAATGCCCCCCAGGCCGCCCTAAAGCATGTTAAAAACGGCCGCTGGGCCATCTTTAACGCAGGGCTAAAGGCAGCTGCTCCGGCCCAGTTCTTCCTGTGGGCCACCAAGGCAGCTGCCTCTTCAGCCCCGCCGGCCGTGCGGTCAAAATTCCGATCCTTCACTATGCGGTCGGCATTACCGCATAGTGAAGGACGAACTGGCTCCTCCTTTTGACCTCCCCTGCGCCTGAACGAGCATACGCAAGCGCGTACCATGACGTCATGGCCGGTAACAGCGCATGCGCATAGCCTCCACCCGAACGGAGCACCCTCACACCCTTTCTTCATCGAGCATCCGAGCCCTGAGAGAGCAGCTGCCAGTGTCTTGAACTATCTTCAGAAGTGTAAGTGTTTTTTTTTTTATATTGACTGTATGAGGGGACTTTACTGCAAATCAATGTTCCTGTATAAAAGAAAATAAAAGTCTGCAAAGTAAAAAGTTGTAATGATATAAATATTTTTTTAGGGGGTGGGGGAGGGGTTGGGGGGCAGTAAATGCAATGCATTCATCTAAAAAAGAAAAGAAAAGTCTGCAAAATTTATGTAATGAGGGAGATACTATTTTTTACGGGGAAGGGGCAGTAAATCAATATGTTCATATATTAAAAGAAAATTAAAAGTCTCCAAAAAGAAGTTGTAATGAAGGAATTTTTTTTTTAAGGGTTGGGGGACATTAAATGCAATGTGTTCATATAAAAAAAAAAGGTTGCAAAATAATAAAAAAAATATTGTAATGAGGGAGATATTATTTTTTAGGGGGAGGGGGTGGGGGCAGTACCATAAAATAAATGCAATGTGTACATATTTAAAATAAAAATTTGCAAAATAATGAAAGAATTTGTAATGAGGGAGATATTATTTTTTAGGGGGAGGGGGTGGGGAACATTAAATGCAATGTGTTCATATAAAAAAAAAAGGTTGCAAAATAATAAAAAAATATTGTAATGAGGGAGATATTATTTTTTAGGGGGGAGGGGGGTGGGGGCAGTACCATAAAATAAATGCAATGTGTACATATTTAAAATAAAAATCTGCAAAATAATGAAAGAATTTGTAATGAGGGAGATATTATTTTTTAGGGGGAGGGTGTGGGGGACATTAAATGCAATTTGTTCATATTAAAAAAAAAGGTTGCAAAATAATAAAAAAATATTGTAATGAGGGAGATATTATTTTTTAGGGGGAGGGGGTGGGGGCAGTACCATAAAATAAATGCAATGTGTACATATTTAAAATAAAAATCTGCAAAATAATGAAAGAATTTGTAATGAGGGAGATATTATTTTTTAGGGGGAGGGGGTGGGGGACATTAAATGCAATGTGTTCATATAAAAAAAAAGGTTGCAAAATAATAAAAAAAATTGTAATGAGGGAGATATTATTTTTTAGGGGGAGGGGGAGGGGGTGGGGGCAGTAAAATAAATGCAATGTGTACATATATAAAATAAAAATCTGCAAAATAATGAAAAAAGATTGTAATGAGGGAGATTTTTTTAAGGGGTGGGTGCGAAGTACAATAAATGCGAGGATGTGCACTTTTATATAAAAACATAATAATCTGCAAAATAAAAAAAGATTGTATTGAAGGAGATATTACTTTTTTAGGGGGAGGGGGGGAGGGCAGTACCATAAATGCAATGTGAATATTTATAAAATATAAAAATCTGCAAAATAATAAATAAAAAAAGATTGTAATGAGGGAGATATTTTTTTAGGGGTAGGGGGTGGGTGGGAAGTACAATAAATGCGATGATGTGCACATTTATATATTAAAAAAAATAATAATCTGCAAAATAGAAAAATCTTGTAATGAGGAAGATTTTTTTTTTAAAGGGGGGGTGGGGGACAGTACAATATTTGTAATGTGCACATTTATAAAAAAATAATAATCTGCAAATTAAAGTTGTGTTCTAAAAATCTAGAAATTTGCTCAATTTTTTTTCTCTATCATTGTAAGGATTCTCTCTCACTAAAGTGACATTTGATTAGCAGATTAAATCTTAACAATTTTTTTTTTTTTTACTTAAGAAGTGAGCCATGTAGATTTAGAAATACTGATCCCTGCTAATAAAATCTACTGTTTTAATGTAGTAGTGTACACAGGAATATTAAAGGGACACTATAATCACCAGAACAACTATAGGCACCCAGACCACTTCAGCTTAAAGGGACACTCCAGGCACCCAGACCACTTCTGCCCATTGGAGTGGTCTGGGTGCCAACTCCCACTACTCCTAACCCTGCAAGTGTAATTATTGCAGTTTTTTTATAAACCGCAATAATTACCTTGCAGGGTTAACTCCACCTCTAGTGGCTGCCTACTAGACAGCCACTAGAAGTCACTTCCTCCTTCATAGCACAGGAAACCTGTGCTAGAGCGTCGCTGGACGTCCTCACGCTGTGTAAGGACCTCCAGCGTCGCTCATTTCCCCATAGGAAAGCATTGAAATTATTTTTCAATGCTTTCCTATGGGGAGCGCTAAAGCGCATTCGCGGCATTGCCGCACATGCGCATTAGGTCTCCTCGGCCGGTGGGCGGGATCAGTCTCGTCCACCGGCCGACGCAATACAGAGGAGGAGCGGCGCAGAGGAGGAGACATCACCGCTGCCTCAGGTAAGTGACTGAAGGAGTTTTCACCCCTTCAGTAACTGGGGATTGAGGGGTGGGAGGGAGAGGGACCCTCCAGTGCTAGGAAAACAGATTGTTTTCCTGGCACTGGAGTTTCCCTTTAATGAAGTGGTCTGGGTGCCTGGTCCAGCTAGGGTTAACCCCTTTTTTTTATAAATATAGCAGTTTCAGAGAAACTGCTATGTTTACACTGACGGTTAATCCAGCCTCTAGAGGCTGTCTCATTGACAGCCGCTAGAGGTGCTTGCGTGTTTCTCACTGTGAAAATCACAGTGAGAAGACGCCAGCGTCCATAGGAAAGCATTGTAAATGCTTTCCTATGAACTGGCTGAATGCGCGCGTGGCTCCTGCCGCGCATGCGCATTTACCCGATGACGTCGCTAGGAAGGAGGAGAGGAAGAAACCCCTTCCTCTCTCCAGAGCCCGGCGGGAGGGGGACCCTGAGGGTGGGGGCACCCTCAGGGCACTAGAGTGCCAGGAAAACGAGTATGTTTTCCTGGCACTATAGTGGTCCTTTAATGTGTTTTGATCTGGTGTCATATAGTCATTCCCTATAGGCATTTTAATGTAAACAGTGCCTTATCAGAGAAAAGCATTGTTTACATTACAGCCTAGGAACACCTCTAGTGGCCACACCTCAGATGGCCGCTAGAGGTGCTTTCTAGGTCAGTGCTGCATAATGTGCAGCGCTGATGATTAGCACCACGCTGTACACTCCCCATAGCGATTCATTAATTCAATGCATCTCTGTAAGGAGCTGCTGATTGGTGCAGCGCAGCATTTTGCCATGCATGCACAATAGCTTCTCAATGCTTTCCTATAGGAAAGGAGTGGATTGGCTGAGATATACTCAAACACTGCCCAGTCCTGTGCATTGTATTGATGAAGTGATGTGTGATATACTTACAAATTGCACATTACTGTGAGTTCTATTGCTGTAGAGCTCAGTGATACACTGATATGCTGCACAGAGACCAGATCTCTTGGCAAGAGGCGTCTCTCTAATTAGGCGATTTAGACGGCCTCTCGTTAAGAGCCTCGCGGCCACCTAAACCGTGTCATCAGAGAGCTGCAGTGCTTCACCAATATTAACTTACTGCCGGCAGTCTTTCCCAGTACAAAAATATAATTGAAGCCTTCCATGCCGCTGCTGTGGCACTACTAATACAAGATGAAACCCCTTCTTTAAAACACATGGCTATAACGGACAAGTTAAAACGGTCTGATTCTCAAACCAGGGTTGTCAGGCTCATTATGTACTTAATGATCAGATGCAGATAGTCTTTTTGAGTTATATTTGTCAAATTCCCAGGTGAAATTATATTTTTGTTTTTGTGTCCATATAAAGATGATTAATTTGGCTTTTACCGACAGGTGCTGCTGTCTGTTGGGTGTAAAACACCAGGCTGCTTTGTACATTTTTACCTCTGGCAGCAAGCAGGCTGTATATTGGTCCCCAGAGCATAGAATTCGTGTAAATTACAGGCACTATGTCTGTCTCTCCCCGTGCCCTTTGTTTGTGTCATTGCCGAACATGTCAATTTGCAAAGTGCCACCATTATGTTTTTGACTAAACATAAATATATTGACCACTGACCAGTCTCTCCTGGCTGACACTAAATCTGCAATCTTCTTTCATGATGAGGTGTGCGCTAAGTGATTGTAAAATAATCACTTAAAAGGACACTTTAGTCAACAAAACAACAACTTTAGCTTAATGAAGCAGTTTTGGTGTATAGATCATGCCCCTGCTTAATGGAACAGTTTTGGTGTATAGATTATGCCCCTGTATAGATCTGCCATTTAGGAGTTAAATCACTACATTAGTAAATGTTTGCTGTTTTTATGTAGCTCATTGTCGTGTTTTGGTGTTAAATAAATTTTACAGTTGGTTTCATATTGATAAATATGGAGAGTAAAACAACATCTAAAGAGAAAGGTGGTGCTCAGAAAATGAGAGAAAAACGGTCCAAAGAACTTGAGTTAGCAGGAAGGGATCCTAAGCAAATGAAACTATCTTTTTCGGTGGTATGTTAAAAGTTCAAAAGTTAAGGCTAGTTCTAACATTTTATGTCACAGAAATGTATATTCACTCTTTTGATAACAAGAATGAATATATCTACCGTATATACTCGTCTATAAGTTGATCTCGTCTATAAGTCGAGAGCAGTTTTTTGACCAACAATTGTAAAATTACTCGTGGATAAGTCGAGGGTAAAACTTGGGGCTATGAAATCCTGGGATTTTTATTATTTTGTCAGATATTACCTAGGCAAAGATCCTGGAACAATCAAACTGTTATGGTAACTACTCCTCTGCATCTCAGTGCACACGCTCAGCTCCAAAGGCACATTCGGTTATCTCGCCAGCTAGTGGTCTTGCTTGTGGCTCATTACAGCCACCGCTGCAACAGTGACGTGGAAAGCGTACAGATAGGTGGCAGTAATCAGCAATCGCTGCACTGTATTCTAAATCAGCCTGCTGTTGTCCGTGTGTGTACCCGGTATCTGGGTCAACGTACAGCTAAGTACTCTAGCACTACCTGTAACTCGATATTGCCCCGCATTCAATGTGAACTAAATTCTATCGAAACTAGCATGGACCCGTGGATCTGCGTTTTAAAATGAAGCTTACAACTAAAATTTCTCGAGTATATACGGTAGTCTGTTTGCATGTGCATGAAGAAGTTTTACGTTTGTTAAGATTCATGATGGATTATCAAGGAGTGTGCATACTTGACTTTCCATAGTGATCAGTTTTACTTTGTTAAGATATATTTTTACTTATTTGAAATCTCATAAAATCTTACATGTAAGGTAAGTATGAGTTGTATATCCTTTGTTTGCATGAGGTTTTTTATTTTTTATTTTTTTTATTGTTACCATGCATGGAGTTCCTGGAGTTTCTTGGTTACCTCTAGAACTTTTCTGGGGAGATTAAAATAGTTTGACAAAAAAAAAAATGTTGTTTTAGGCTGGTGGTATACACCCAAGAATTCCTGTTGATGAGGTTTCTGCCGGCCCAAGTGCTCCTTCAAGCAGGCCGGTTGTGTCCGTCGAAGATGAGGTGAGCCCACAAGCAGAAGAACAGGTGATTGAGGAGGAGCTGGTGTCAGAATGCAGAGAACAAGCGCAGATAAATGACCCAGATGTTTTTGAAGACCTTCCTGAATTAGAATGTATCACATCTGAAGACATGTCAGGAAGCGTTATAAATGATCCATCAGAAATATCTTTTAGTCTTCCTCCTGCATGCTCCATAGCAGAAAAAATTAATTTTGTTGAAAAACACCCTTTTCAGCCAACCAGGACTGAATGCGCAGATCTTCCTTTTCAAGAAGCAGACTTTTATTACCGCAAAAAGTCTAATGGGGATCGTATTAAGCGTACATGGCTGAGTTGCAAGATAAAGGATCGAAAGTTAGAAGCATTTTTTTGCAGCATATGCATTGCCTTTTCTAATTCCTCTTCCTCGTTCACTAGTGGTTGTTCTAATTTTCGCCATTGCTATCAGGCAGCAAATAAGCACGAATCTTCAAAAAGTCATTCTGATGCTGTTAGTGCTTATTTTACCATGAAAACGAATAGAAGCATTGACACGTTATTAAATCAGGCTCAAGTCTCCAGAAGAAAGAAGGAGATACTACAAAATATTGAGGTATTAAACCGTATATTTAATATTGTAAAACTCCTCGGAAAACAGGGATTGCCATTTCGTGCCCATGGCACTAATGAATCGCTGTACAATTTAAATAACATTGAAATAAACCACGGGAACTTTCTGGAAATTGTCCTACTTCTATCACAGTATGATATTCCTCTTAAAAATCACCTTGATAAATGTGTTCAGGACAGTGAAAAAAGAAAACAGCGATTGAAAGACAGAAAAACATCAGGAAAACATTCAACTGGACGTGGATCTCTTGTGACATTTTTGTCCAATAATACAATAAAGAAAGTATTTGCAGCAATAGTTCAAAGCATGAAAAACTTAATTGTGTCTGAAATCGGAGAGAAACGATTCAGTATACAGGTTGACTCCACACAAGATGTTGGAATTGTAGATCAAGCAACAGTAGTTGTGAGATATGTGCAAGATGAAGCCATTAAAGAACGGCTTGTGGCGATTCTCCCTGTTAAAGACGCTACAGGAAAAGGATTTCACGAACTTCTAATGTCCTGTTTTGATATGCTTGGATTAGATTTCCAAAGAATTGCTGGTGAATCATTTGATGGTGCAGCAAATATGAGGAGTGCGTATGTGGGACTACGTGCACAGATTGCAAAGGTAGTGCCAGATGCGGTTTATATTTGGTGCTATAGTCATATCCTTAACCTGTGTGTCTCAGATTGCTGTCAAGTATTGGAAGCCAAAAAATTTTTTGGTCTCCTAAATCGCTTGGCAACCTTTATTGGAGACTCACACAAAAGAATGAATATCTGGAAAGACCAACTGGATAGAAGACATGGACAGGAAAAACTTTTAAAGTTACAAAAAATTGGAGAGACAAGATGGTGGGCAAAAGAAAAAGCCCTTAACTGGATTTTTGGTGAAAAACATTCTCTTTATTTTGACACCCTTGAAGTTTTATATGTAATTTCCCAGAGTAACTTGTTTGAATCAAAAACCACTTCTGAGGCCTCATCCCTTTTTCACAATCTTTGTCAGTTTAGGATTATCCTAACAGCAAACATATTTTTACAGGTTTTTGATGTTATAGGGCCAGTGTCAAAGTATCTACAAACCAGTGGCCTTGACTTCAAGGTAGCATGGCAAATGGTCGAACGTGCAGTGGAGCAACTGAAGAAAATTGATTTCAACAATCTAAAACAAAAGGCTGAACACTTTGCAATAAAAACAAACGAGTTAATGGATGAAAGTGATGTTCTCAACTCCTTGGAAGTCGAGACTATGCTTCCAGTTCGAAGAGTGGCACGAAAGAAACGCTTGGCTGGAGAATCTTCACATGATGAACGGCCTGAAGATGAAATGCAATGTTTTCGAGCTAGTGTGTTCAGACCAATTCTGGACCAAATCATACAAAGCATGACGGAGAGATTTTCAGAAAATAAGCAATTGGTCATGGATTCCCACTACTTGGATCCTCGCACTTTTCAGAAAATTAGGACAGATCCCAAAGTGCTAGATGGAGGGGCACTAGAGAGAATTTCTAAGTTAGCCAAAGTAAATGAATGTTCTCTCAAAACTGAATTAATAAGTTTTGCCAACTTATTTCCAAGTCTTACAGGATGTCTTTCTGAAGATGAGACACAGAAAGTGGAAATAATTATTGAGGAGGAGGAGGAGGAAGAGGAGATTGACTGGATTCCACCTACTGACAAACTAGTTGAGGTACAAAAGGAATCAAAGTGCGGTTCTTGCAAGCAGTGCTTTCTTTGCTGCCACAGGTTGTTGATAAAATACAACCTTTATTCTGCAGCTTATGAAAATCTTTCTATCACCTATGAGTACCTGTTGACCCTTTCTTTTACACAAGTGTCATGTGAGAGAGCATTCAGCAAGCTTAAACTCATCAAGACCCGACTGCGAGCCACAATGGGACAAGAACTGCTTGATGCTCTAATGCTCATGTCAGTGGAGAGAGATCTTCTGGAACAGGTTCAGTTTCCAGATGTATTGGAAATTATTCGTCAAAGTTCTACCTTGATGAGGTCTTTGCTAACCGTTTGATCAAATATTTAGTTTAAAAGTTTTATACAGATATTTCTTTCTCTGGCTTCTGTATTTTTTGAAAAAGTGTATTGTGCCCATACATTGTTCATTTGTTAAAACTGTAGATTTTATTTTTGTTAAACATAATTTTTTGCCATTACAAATAAATTATGTTAAACCACATTGTATCATATTTGTCTTGCTTCATAACATCAATATCCGTTATAAAACAAGGAAAAGGTGGGCGTGGATGGTGAGCTGATTCGGTGGTCCAATGGGCCACTTGACTGGGATTGCCCCCCAGGACTAAGGCTGCCAGCCCTCCCCTGCTGACAGGTATTTATACAGGTTATGAATTAGTCATAAAAGGATCAAAACAGTGGCATAGGTTGGAGTGACCTGTTTGAACCTGGCTACACTTAGTGAATGATAAGCTAATTTGAGCAATATTCGTATCTTTTTAGGATTATCAAACCATGCTAACCTTTAACCAGGCTGAATGTCTACAACACATAAATATGCATTAATTGTCTTGACATTCAGATCACTCACCAATATTATTATAATTAATTTCAGTAATATAAATAAATCCTCTTACAGTAAGGGTTTTGGTGCTGTGACGCTTTAATTGTCCCAATATAAATAATCACATCACGCTGTTACTGCTGACAGGTCTATTCTGGCATTTGGTGCAAAGAAAATGAAAAAATCCCAGCATAAATAAACTTCATTACAGACCTGAAAGTAGTGATCCCAGTCGTTTACCAACCAAAAGATGGCCGCTCAGCTACGCATATAAGGACCACAATCTGCCCACACACAGCTCTGCCCAGTGCGGCTTCATGCCAGAAAGAAATATGGCGCCGCTCGCTCTGCGACCAATAACGGGGCGTGATACTCGTGTGACGTCACCACTCGCTTTTCCAATGAGCGCATTCTGAGTGGATGGCGTCACCTACCTAAACTAAAGCTAGTTTATTGTGAAAGCTGAGTGGGATAACACGTGACTCCTTTCTTAGTAATGGTACATGGCTTATTTGTAGCGATGAGCAATGCAGTTACCGGTGAGGCCCTGCAGAGGGCGCTCTATGAGGGCGTACATGTGTTCAGAAAGTGTTGCGCAATAAAATGTGTGGTGCCAGACACAGACATGGCGGCCAGCGGCTTCATGGCTTCACGTCTGCCCATACCGGGCACGTATTGTGTGACGTGCTGCGCTTTCGAAGAACTGGCGCCAAATGTGATGACGTCTCCCAAGGGGCGGGGCTGGGGTTGAATGTTGGCGGGTGCTGGGGAAACCGGGCTGTGAATCCATTACCGAGCGCTCTCCCGGTACAGGGAACGGTAAGGGCAGAGTAACCTCCATCCAGTCATAGTACAGGTAAGTGGGCTGTGAATGGCTGCCATGCGCTCTATGTCCTCACTGTGCTTATTACAACACACAGGGCTCAGACACACACACTATATATACCTGTATGGATAGAACCAGAACATAAGGACGGCAATCTGTTCTATAGAATGTTATTTAGAGTTTTACACATTGTTTGTTTGTGCTCACTGCTTACTTGGATTGTGTGTGTTGGTGTTCAGTGAAGGGCACTAGGTTATTCACAAAACTGTGCATTGTTGGGAGTTAAATGAATAGCCTTTTTAAAGTGAATTTCAATATTTAGGCCAAATTGGCTTTCTATCTAGTTTAAATTATTTTGCTTTGAAATTCACTTACAATTCTCATTGACAGTTTAGCAAATACGCCTGTTTGCACTGTCGCCTGGAATTATTTATCTAAAGGTTTGTTGATAATTTCTTGTTTTAGTGTATCTTTATTCCCTACGACAGGATATCAAGCATTTAAAATCCCAGCCTCTGTTGATCACTTCTATATAATGTATCTACTAGTAAAATATACTAAAATCACAATTTACCCTTTGTCAGTGTTCTTTGAAATATGTAGTTGGATGACCTTGGTTTTTTTTTAATTTTTTTTTTTATTAGAAATATTCCTCAATCTTTGCAGGGAATCCTTTTGATTAACAAGGCATGGAAGGTAAGTTAACCTTTTAAGCACTCTTTTTTTTTTTTTTTCAACTAAATAGGGTCTCATCATTTGCTTTCTTTTATTATGTATTTTGATCTCCATCTTATTTCTCGTGGGGAAAAAAAAAAGTAATGCTCAGCCGATCACCACTGAAAGCTACAAACTAATCTATGGAAAGATTTTAGTGCTACTACCCCAAGCAAAGAAAACATATAGCTGGATGATTACTCACTCTTATCACATTTCATGGTTTGCCATCCTTGGTGCTAGTTACTGTAGTTCCATCCTTAGAAAATAAACACAGACCGAAAATCCTTCAAAATGCACTTTCAGAGTATCCATATAACAAAGTATAACTCAAGAAATATGCCCTAGTACCGGTACTTTCTGTTGAAGGATGTTTTGTCTGTGCCTACTCACTTATCTAGGTTGATGAAAACCTAAATTGGAGTTTACATATCACTTTGTCTAACTTATCAGACACTTAAATCCGTGTGATGCTTTTTATAAATATTTCCTACATGCGATGAAGTATAAAACAGATAATGGATAACATATTTACGTAAGGCTTTCTTCTGAGTGATCAGCACTGCCGCCTTCCCAAGATATACCAATACTGGGCCTTTTTTATTTAGTTTATCTACTTCAGTAAATTGCATTTTTTTTTATTTTTATTTTTTACTTATTTGGCAAGTTAAACATACTTTGACTTATTCTCATAAGCAATAATTATTGAGGTATTTTTTTTTTTGGTAGCAGAGCTGGTATGTGAAAAACACGGGAGATGTATGCAAATGCCCACATCTGCTTGACTACCTGTGTACATGATTAAGTAGCATTTACTGGGTAAAGGAATTTGGAACTGTCACTTCCAGAGAAATTACAGTTCAATGCTATAAGTACTGACAGGCTTTGTAAAACCTAAATTCATCCAATTATCTTAAAATTAACTGTACCTTTAAAAATAAAAATGAATCCACCATCATAAACTATATTTTCCCAGACATATCCATGGCAGCACTGGCTATAGGGGGCAAAGCTAACACTATATAGTGCTACTGTGGGCAGAAAAGCAATTTATGGCAAGTAAGGATACATTTTCCAATTTATCGGTCATATTTACTGCAGCACTGATTATAGGGTTAGCTCCGCTATGATAAATTGTCTGCTGTCCTCTCTTCATATATAGGATATTTTCTTGGGTTATATGTCTTTTTTTTTTTTTTTTAAATTGTTTTGCTTTAAAAAAAATTATTAGGATTTTTCATATATTGCACAATATATAATAAGGAGCATATATAGCATTCTAATATTTAATTATTTATTTATTTTTTTGTAAATTTAATTACGAAGTATGGACCTGTAATTTGCACCATAATTCAATGATTTGGGATAGGTAATACGTTTTTAGAGCTATTTATTATTTCTGTAGACGATGCTGACTTAGAGCTGTTAACATCCTTGTTGGAGGAAAATGAAGCTGCAGAGGGAAGCAGTACTGAGTATCCCAATGCTTCTAGTGATGAGTATGATGATCTTTTTGATGGGGATGAGGATGGATCCTATCATGAAGGGGATAATCCGTCTGAAGAGCAGGAGGTTAACGGGGTGCAAGAAGATTTTGCAACCTTGTTTGGAGATATTGATGACATCGACGAGAAGCATTCAGAAGAAAACTTGCATGAAAATGAGAAGCAATTGTCATTCTCCACCCAAGAGAAATCAAAGCAAGAGCTGGAAGGTATTGTACATGTTTTGTCGGAATACACAATTTTACGTTTTGTGAATTCTTATACCCAAATGAGCCAACTATTCTTGCATAACAAGCTGCAACTTCTCCAACAAGCTAGTGATTTATGTTCTGTTCGTTTTGAGTATGTATTCATAACTGATAAGTAAATTGAGGGACTAAAATAGTATGTATTTTCAGCCGAGTATGCAGACTTTCCTTTTTAGCTAATGTTTTAAATAAATATGTATTTGTATAGAATCATTAATTTTTTTATTTTTTTTTTCAGATGAGTTAAAGAAAATGCAAGAGCAAATGCAGAAGTTGCAGGAAAAGTTAAAACACACTGCACTTGCACAGTCACCAGGCTCTGTAGCTCCAAGAAAGTCACCAGTCAATAATATTAAATCAGGTAAGTCAGGCTGATTACAAAGTTATGTGAACCATTATGTTTTAGTATTTTACAAATATACATAGCTTCTTGCAGCAGAGAAAAGTGTTTAGGGGGAGAGGGAATACTTAAAATGAAAGTTACTTTCCAGGATGTTTATTTTTCCTATCCCTATAGTTAACAAATATGTATTGGTGAAGTGTAAAAAATTTAAATGTAGACATCCACATCTCTTTCCTGCAAATGAAAGCCTCCATCTTGGCTTCGTTCAAAAAGCAGATGTGGTAATGGGGGTTGGAGTAACTCTTCAACTGCACCTATGAAAACTGGGTCTATTACTGCCTTCACTCTCCACATCCTTTCTAGGTTTTCTTTTGGTTCTTGGTATTTGTCCTCCTCATTTTCCTACTTCTTGATGTTATGGTTGCTAGGGATTTCAAAATCCACTGCAGTCTACCATTCCTTGTCTACCCCCACCCCCGGGTTGGTTGGCAAGTACTTTCTTGTCTATCTGGATATGGAAGACCCACAGGATCGTAACCCTCATTTATTAGGGGCAATTATGAAGCCCCAGCATGTTCTGCAGTGCTATACAATTGGAGAAAATAGACGTTGCAGTATAGACAAACACAAAAGGTGCAACTACCCTTTGTTGTGTCCAGCCCATATTCTTTGCAGATATTTCAGTACACATTCCCCAACCTAAATTGTGCTGCTCAGTGTATGCTGTCCATGCTAACATCTTGCGCTCTGTTACTATGTCCTGGATTGTCTCAGAGGTCTCTTTGCACACTCTGCACCTTGGCGTAAAGTCGTGATTTTAAGACACAGGTTATTGCATATCTTTCTTTACTGTCCATCAATAGCAGCAAAGTATACAAAACAGAATGAAAAAATAATGCATCCATAATAACATAGGCCGCTCCCAGCGAAGTCACAGTAGGCACCACCCTCAGATCTCTCTCTTTCTTGAAGATGCGACACACCACAACAGAAAAGTTCTGCAAAACAGGAAACCTGAGAACGAAACGTAGAAGGTAATCATTGAGAACACAGGACCATTTAATCCACAACATTAAACCAATTTGGAACATCCAAGGAACCGCTCCAACAAGATAATGCACTCCCAAGGTAGATGAAAGTGATATCAACAGGACCGGATCATGCTGTGAAAACATAAAGAACAGGAGCCCAAGGGTTAAATCAGTACCATGGACCAACATCAAGGCCAGAAGCATTATAGGCATAATCTACATCCCATAACGAGCAACAGCCCATCCCAAAACTCTAAACAGGTATAATCAAAACCAAACCTCAAATACAATGCGCCACTTGCCATACCAACTAATCAAATCGCCTATAACAAACAATACGGGTGGGAAAAATAGAAAACTGAGAAATTGCTTCATAACTGGTGGGACAATACTCGACTCTTTGTCTTTAATAAAATCATGTCTTTACGTCATAGGATAATAATGTAATTTTATAACAAGACACAGAGGCTCATATTGCAAGTTTAAAGCTGATCAACTCCCACAGAAAACACATGAATAATAGGCCGAAAATAAAATTCCCGAAATGTCGATTCCCGTGACCAAT